AGGAAGGAAGGAAGGAAGGAAGGAAGGAAGGAGCTGATGATGGATAGAAGGAAGGGGCTGATGATGGTTGTTGTAGGTTTTTTGGGCTCTTTGGCCGTGTTCTGCAGGTTGTTCTTCCTGACGTTTCACCAGTCTCTGTGGCCGGCATCTTCAGAGGACAGCGCTCTGTGCTCTGGTGCAGTTTGTGTGGGAATTGAGTATTTATGGCTGTGAGATCAGCTTTTGTCCTTTTCAGGAGATGGGTGATTATGGTGATCAGTGTGTTTTTGTTGTGGGCGTATTGTTGTGATAAGGAGGAGAGATTATCTGTCACAGCGTTTGGAAGAACAACCTTCAGAACACGGCCAAAGAGCCCGAAAAACCCACAACAACCATTAGATCCCGGCCGTGAAAGGCTTTGTGAATTACATTGAACTGATGATGGACAGAAGGAAGGAAGGAAGTATAAAAAGTCACACAGTGCAAAAATCTGTACAAATTTGAGAAGATGCTACTACCCGTTGCAAGAAATATTGTTTCCATCAGCACATAAACAAACACACAGACAAACAAACGGAAAAGAAATGAAATGAAGGTGGAGGAAATAAATTGGTGCCCCCAACCGCCTTTTCTAGTTACTTCTGATCTGGGTGCCCCCCTGGTGCCCTCCCTACACCATGTTTGTTTCCATTGCAGAAAGGAGCATCTCTATTTTCTGAAAGACGCCTCATGCAGAAAACCGGTCCTTCCTGCTAAAGCCACTCAGGGCCCCTCCTGGCCGGCCGTGGGTCTTTGACCTGGGGTGGCGACATCTCTAGGGGGCAAGGATTCGCAGCTAGAAGGGCAGTGAACCCCCCCTGGCCTGACCACAAGATGCTGGGGTCTCCTTCCTGGACAGCAAGGATCCGAAGATGTTCCTCCTCAAAAATGTCCATCCTCAGATCATCCCCATCCCACTCTTCAACGCATCGAAATTGTTGAGCACACTTACCTAGGAGTCTTGACTCACACACAGAAAAATCCCAGAGCCGGCCCTACCATTGGGCAACGCAAGCTGATTGTCTCAGATAGCAAGCACCAAGGGGGGGTGGAGAGCAGAGCTACTGTATTTCTAGCTCCAGGACTACAGTTCCCATACTCCCCCCGTCCGGTTGAAGGAAAACCCACCCGGGTAATTCAGCATGGGATACCTCAGCAATATCTGTGCAAAACGCAATGGGTTTTCCCCCCACTTCGTACCGTTTTGCAGATTTATTGGGAGGGGAGGAACAGAGAAGGACAGAAAATGTACCGCTTTTAATTTCTAAGATTTTAGCGCCGAAGCGAAATCAGGCAGGACGTACCTCGTAGTCGGACACCGGGGGAGCTTTTGATTTCTTTCGGTTCTGGATCTGAGAAAGGGGGAAATCCCAGCATAAAGTCATTTCCGAGGTTAGAATCACAATTTTAAAAATTCACAGTATGGCGTGAGCATCACGGTTTACTTTTTGATTCCCCACTCCACAAAATAATGTAATAATCTACTAGCATCTTTTTGAGGGTGGGGACTTAATTGTTTCTTCTTTGTATTTGTAGCGACTCTTTTTTTTTAATCGCTAAAATGAGTCCTATTTTAGATTTGCTCAAAGTTGGTTCTGACTCAACAAATCATAGCAACAAAAGATATAAAACAAGAAATTACACCACATGTGGGGGCAACCATATCTCAGCAGAGAGGCAGTGTGGTGTAGTGGTTACAGGGCTCAGCCGAACTTAAGAAAACCAAACCAATCTTATTCTCCACCCACCACAGGACCTCATTGGAAGGTTACAAGATCCTAGCCCTCCTCATTTACAAAAATTCACTGGCGCATTTTTTAATCTAAAAGATCCGGAATGACTCGCCTTCATTCGGCAGTACAAGAACGTCACAATAATGCCGTAGAGAAAAAGAATCCCATCCAGGACGTAACACAGCTGCGGTTCCTTCAGCGCCTCTGCAGTTAAGAGGTAAAAATGGGTAATTTTTGTGATTATTTCAAGGAGGCGTTTGCAAAACACAGCACTCTGAATAAGGGGAATAAAGGAAGGAAGGGATTTTCAGCAAGGGGACAAAATGCAGTACAAGGATCTAGATTTCGTGGTGCGTGGGAAAATGTTCTCCAAAGCTGAGTTGTGTTGATGAGCTTGGAAAACCAAAATCAGCGCTCAAAAATTGCACTTTTGTGGGCTGCAACCCTCAGAATCCACCCGACACCATTCCCGATTCTCAATAATTTGGGGTGTGGTTGTTTAAAACATGTGGAATAGGAAAGAGAGGGAAGGATCGGCTGCCGATCAGCTTTAGCCATTCCACTTCTGAATGATCTTAATCGCCAGTGGGACTCATATAGATAAAGACAGTCTGGTAGGGAGAAACTCATTAATTAATTTAAATTAATCATGCTGTGTTTCTCTATCCCTCTCTGTTTCTATAATATATATAAATATATCTGCCATAGTGATATTGTTTCCTACATGTGCTTTCTTTTTCTGATAGTTTTCCCCACCCTGTTTTAGTTTCCCCTATAAATTTTGACGGTGTTGTGGACGGAGTCACGGATTAGGACTCAGGAGAGCTGAATTCAAATCCCTGCTCAGTTTTGGAAATTCACTGTGAGAACAGCAGTGGAAAGAACCATTCCTTAAATATCATGTTTACCCAGAAAGCCCTATTAGGGTTATATATATAATTTGTACAAACCCTTGTGTCTTGTATCCAGAGGTTGGGGAAAGGGCCGTTTCTGAGTTAAATGCCTCAGAATCCTCCAGGAAAATTGCTGTGGGTTCCAGCGGAGTCAATATTAAAATATTAAAATTTCCCACCTCTGAATGTCGACCACAAGTGCATGGTTATTAATTACAAACAAACAAATAAAAAACAACAGTGGTTCTACCTTCTTGTATCCCAAATCAAAGCAAGGAGGGATAAAGTTGAAAGTAAAAAAACTTGCTCGGCTGATTTCTGGCCCCTTGGGTTTTACCCCTTGCGGGTGTCAAAGGAAACACATAAAATTAGGAAGGTGCACGGAGGGGATTCTGTGAAATGGAACTAGCCTGATTTAGCAGAAGGTGGCTGTAGCCACGTGGCTAGCTCATGATGTCTTCCTGTCCTGTGATGGTCTCACATTCTGCAAGAGTTCTAACTTTCTCTTTCGATAAAAAGCGATGGGGAAATCTGCGGCCACTTCTTGGCTGCTGCGCAACACATAAAATTAGGAAGGTGCACGGAGGGGATTCTGTGAAATGGAACTAGCCTGATTTAGCAGAAGGTGGCTGTAGCCACGTGGCTAGCTCATGATGTCTTCCTGTCCTGTGATGGTCTCACATTCTGCAAGAGTTCTAACTTTCTCTTTCGATAAAAAGCGATGGGGAAATCTGCGGCCACTTCTTGGCTGCTGCGCAACTCCCATCCGAGCCATGAAAGGCCAGGTGACCGGGGGGGGGGGGGAGGGGGGGGA